ATATCCTGAACTTCATATTCTCCCCTTTATTTCTCCCACCTTCCTTCTCCAGATGGGAAAGAACTATACTGGTCTATGAGATGATTTTATATTGTAAACATTGAGAATGAGTTTCTTGATTTTGAGTCTGTCTCTGACTGAAACATTGTAAGAAAGCATATCCCTTTTGTGTAAATTAGAGCTGCAAAGAGATTTCAGGAACACATTTGATTTTTTCTTGAACAGCATTCAAGAATAACCACAATAATGTTCATTAACCGATACATATTTCTATGCGTCATTTTCCATTTCTTCTCCGCTGCTGGGCACGTCATATTTCATACTATTTATGTAGCCAAAGGACTGTGCGGCCTATCTGCGAATGTCTTGGAGTTATTTCAAGCATCGTGAATACATGTTTCGAATAGTTTGCATTCATACGCCAAATTCCATTAAAGTGACATTAAGTCATCGTTCATTCGTAACAGTAAGAAGTGAATTAATATGTTGTTCTATCGTTTATCAAGTACATATAAATTTCAGTTTGAAAAATGTGAATCGAGACTTATATAAATACCGATTTGCTCTCAGTGATATCAATCATGGAGAAAGTCGTAAACCACCATATCCTCAAATATTTGGAAGGCTTCAACATCTTGAGCGATCATCACTATGGCTTTCGGAAACAAAGACCAAAGACCTTCTGTCGTATGTTACCCATATTTGGAATGACGCAATCGAGAAATATGGAGAATCAAGAGCTGTTGCGCTTGATATTTCTATGGCTTTTGACCGTGTATGGCATTAGGGGTTGCTGGTCAAACTTCGATGCTATGGCTTGTCGTATCATTTCTGTGTATGGCTCTTCAGCTTCCTGAAAGAACGTTCCCTGCAAGTGGGCATCGATGGCAAAATAAGGAAGTACTTATATTGTTTCTATGGACCGGACCTACATAGATATTCTTGTTGACTTTTGAACGATTTTCAGTTGGGGGCGTACCTACCATGTTTTTATGACTAATCTGGGTTCCTAGGGCTCCCGAAGGAATTTTTTTTCTACAGTAATTTTCATTCAATGTTGAATTTCTGTTATTTCTGAAACGTTCGTACCGGGATGATGAGCTCAGTATATCTAGTCGTGATAAAATCGATCAGTAACGCCCAAAGTATTTTTAGAAATATCTTTTTCACAAACTTATTATTATAATTGTTTACTCAAAAATTCAAATGAGAATCATCTCTGCTGGATTAAAATTTTTGTACTCGTTATATCAAGACTATTCTGAAAATACTTCAGTTTTCTTCTTACTTCACTACTGATTTTAGCAATATTATAAACGTGGAACTGATTTGAATAAACTTTAGCTCATGATGAGTTTATCTGGATTAACATTGCGGCAAATTCGTCTGCGTGAAATTCACAATAGATTCCAGCAGAAAATGAAAAATGTCTGAGATGAAATATGGAAGGATAGAAAATTTCACCTGTTATAATGATTACAATTGATAGAGAAACTAGCTGCAGTTTTGAAGTGGTTAGGTACTGGATATGGTGGAATCATAAAATTTACATTGTTTTTTTGCTTACCTGCATAATTCAAGTTAACATATGATAAATATAATATGAGACATTCAATGTCTGTTCCAAATTGAAAGAGTATCAGCTTGTTGTTGTAGTTTATCAAAGTTAGTGAACGAAATATACTGAAAGAGTATTTGAGTCCAGTTGAATAATATTAACTGGAATGAGAGCATTTCTTTCAAAATACAAATAAAAGTAGAAGCACAATAACCACGGATTGATAAAAAATGATAATTATTGACCCACCCACTTCCTGAAGACTCTGTAACCGACACCACATATTCATTTTTGGCAAAGGAGTGAATACTGTCTCTATTGCCTAATTTGTTGCATCGTATTTCACAGAGAACATGAGCAACGGATACCCTGAGTCAGCTGACCAGTCCGTTTTTGGACAATATAACTATCCTTCCGGCAGCACCACTAGCTGGTTAGCTTTACCTTCTCGGACTTGATGTAACGACCGGACTGGTAATGTAATCGCTTGTAAATCGGTGCCAATGTGATCTTTAGTAAGAATACTGACTAGTCTTGAATTGTTATTTCGGTTTGTAAATCCGATCAGGTTTGAAATGATGGTGCGTACTTCGTTTTCATGTCTTTGATGACAGAGAAATATTGCAAAACACTCAAACAATCACACTTTGAAGATTTTTAGAAAACCGATGTTGTTAAATTCATTCCCGAACATTATGCAATATTATGGTTTTAATACAGATGAATGAAAAACTACTTGGAAAAGTATGCATTTTACTTTTTTAATCTAAGACATCAATTAGGTACCGAAAGGTTTAAAACACTCAAACAATCACACTTTGAAGATTTTTAGAAAACCGATGTTGTTAAATTCATTCCCGAACATTATGCAATATTTTGGTTTTAATACAGATGAATGAAAAACTACTTGGAAAAATATGCATTTTACTTTTTTAATCCAAGACAACAATTAGGTACCGAAAGGTTTGGGCTTTCTACTTCGCCATCTTGATACAACAAAAAAATGTGGGAATTTTCCAAAGAAAGGTAGGGAGCAATCAATTTCCAGAAAATAATTCTATACAAAGATGTGAAGATCATGCAAAGAAGTGACTTTCAGACAAACTGGAAAAAAGCCCCCTCGAAGCAGCTACTTTCATATAAACATTGAATTACACTAAAGAAAAAAACTTGACGATACGTTAGAAACAGTGAATCATAGGGATAACGTCAGACACTTAGGCATAGTCGCATAGTCATAGATCAACATTTAAACAGGCAAAAACGATTAATGAATGTTATTCCCATAGAAATATTATACTGAAAAGTATGTTACTGAAAACATACAACAGTTTGAGAGTTTCTATTAGGATATATTTATGGCATCAGTATACAACATCAGACCTTTCAGAAATATATTGGAAATCTTCAATAATTTCATTTCAAATCAATATTCAAGAAATAATATTCTTGAAATGTGGGTACTATATATGTTTCAGGCATTGAAAAACGTGCTTAGAAAAATTAGCTCAGCAGGGATAGGATACAACTACCAAACAAAGAATAACTTGAAAAGAGTTGATGAAACGTTATGTCGATAGGGTTTTGAATATGCCGGCATAATGTCTTTCGATATCTTCGAAAATATTTCAAAAACCAAAATTTGAATATCTGGTAAAAATATACATAATAGAAAATTATAGCAATCTCATTACCCAACTTGTATAAACTGGAGGCGGAACCATTCCTTCTTTGTCACTTGACATCGACGAGGAATTGATTTATTCATTCTTTATATATTTAATGCTTCAAATAGGATACTCCAACAATTTGCAACAACGTAAATGTACATTCGAATTGGAAGGATTATATTTTCAGTTCATTGCAACTGAAACTAAATAATTTTTATGTCATATTCATATCTTTCCGGACTGCAGTTGTATAAATGTGAAATATTTTGAATTAAAAAGGAAAATTATAGAATTTCGAAAGTACGCCTCACGCTTGGTAAAACTATAATCAAATTATCAGTATTCATGATTCACTCAGTCAGAATATGTTTTTCAATTCATATTCATCGCGAAACATTCAAGAAAATGTATTCTCAATGGTATAAATGGAAATATATCCGTATTTCACTATCTGTGTACTTTGTTAAAAATATTTAATGATACAGTTTTGAATTTATCAATTATACAACTCAACTCAAACTATATACTATAAAAACGAAGATGCCCAACCAATGATTTCTTGTAAAGTCAAGCTTCTACATCGACCACCGGGATATTGCTTTCTGCCTCTCTACAGCTTTAGCTGCAAACATATAAGTGATGATTCTAGCATTGCGTGTACCATCTAATACGAGATACCAATGGAAAATTTTCTCTAACACGTCTAATTTTGCTGTAATCCTTCACAAATATTATTGAAAGTTAACACAGGTCAGTCACGAGAGAAAATATTGGAAGAAATGGAGTGCAGATGGAGAATATATAAGTGATTTCGCTGATACAATAGTCAGCAATTGTGTATCATTCTTGCCGGTAAATATGTTAATGGCCTTAACTCATGTGAAATTCGCCATATACACTACGTACGTTGAAATATTTGAATTCATATGAATAATCAAGCATATTACAGGTTTAAGCTTATTTTCTGTGTCTTCAGAATTCCCAAATGTTATGCATTACTCATTACTTTGAAAATCTTATATCGTAGTGTTTAAAAAAATCTCGTTTCTCTACCTCTCATGAGGAGAAAAAAGAAGATCGTTAAAACATAAGTTCATCAGATAGAGGAGTAAGTGAAGCTAACTACCTTCAACTTATGATGCACTGTTTGGAACCTTTGGTGTAGTAATTAATATTACTGGAGTTTTTTCCTAACACTAAATCGTTTTATTTTTAATACCTCGACACGTGTTTCGATCACTAAGTGATCATCTTCAAGAGGAAGTTTAATCTTCCTCTTGAAGATGATCACTTGGTGACAATAGAATAGACAATAGAAGTCCGACCTTATGAAATGCACAACGAAACATTGTCAACCACTTTGAAACAAAGATGGCTTATCTTTTGATCAGTTTTTTATCGGCCATAAATTAGCATTGTTACAATATACATTACAACAGAGTTATCGTGAATATTCAACGACGTTTCCCCGCATGAATCAAATGAAATTTATACAAGTATATATACTAAATCCGTTTTTGCTGAAATTATCCATGATTACGCCTAACCGTTGAAATGTTTTGAGTAGGATATAAATTGCTCTCGAGTCATTAATCTACTTCTTCCCTATATTTTCAATCCATGAATTAAAATGAATTTCCGTTCTTAGTGTCAATTTATGTAGATTTAATAAAGATTTAAACCGTATCGAGGAATAGATAGATTGTCCCTGCACACGCAAATTTGAAATTCAAATAAGAAAAATAAGTTGTAGAATGTTCCTTCATACTCACGTTTCTTCTTATGATCCTGGTCCTGCTGATGCATTCCGCCAGAGGGATCCAACATCATGGAGTGCCCCAGTGGTCCCCCATGACCCCCTGGCTGACACTCCATCGTTATCATACTACCCTCAATGATTGGAATGCACTAAAAAAAAGGAGACTGTAAGTGTTTGTATAATTTAAGAGTGAATGTGATTCTTGTTCACATCAATTTTTTTTCCATTCATCACGGTTTATAGAGTTTTTCATGAATAAATTATATTTCATTTCTTATTATGAATGTTTAGTGCACAAATAGGAAAGAAATAATTTGTTTCTGTGTGACCCCTGTAGAAATGATAGTTATCCAGATATAGTATTTCTTCATATTTCAATTTTAAGAAAATATCTGGAAATCATTTGGGAATTTTCCAAAATAAATAGAAGAATCTGAAAAACGGAATACATTGAGCAGGGTCACGTCATTATAAATCAAATATGGGCCGCAAAATGCCAATTTATCATTTCCATAGTAGCCCCTATGGTGTGAGAAGGAAATATTAGAAGTGGATAGTTATTGGTTCACAGATGGATCGAAAATACCTTCAGGATCTGGTGCAAGTTTTTTCAGTTGCAGACCCAGGATAGAGGTGTCAACCTGCCTCGAGACTCATGCGACTGTATTTCATGCTGAAATCTATGCTATTGAATTGGGTGCGGAGGGACTGGTAGAATCCAATCTCATACACAAGTTAATGAAACTTTTCTCACACAGTCGAGCGTTGGAAGCTCTCGGCTTCTACCGAGCAACATCTAAATAGGTAGAAAATTGCCAAAAACGACTCTCCTCAAGGGGAAGACTTGAAAAATTGACTCTGGTCTGGATTTCTGACGATATTGGCCTGGAAGGCAACGAAGCTACTGACTACCATGTAAAGGAGGGTGCTGCAGCTTTATCGGAACAGCACCTGGCATCGCTTTAGGTTTTGCCAGACAAACATCGAACACCTGAATGGCAAGAATATTCAAGGACTTCTGGCAAAATTTTCCAAGATTAGCTCACTCCCCTAAACCAGGTTTTAGAGTTTGGCAGAGCCAGACTTTTACCGTGTTACCTGAAAAATCACTTAGCACATGATTAGTTTATATGATTTATATGGCTTCGTTAAGAAGCTGAGTATGTTTGGTCGAGTTTGATTAGGTGTGAGCCTCAATAAACCCTTGCGGGTTGCGGTGGAATGTTGTATAGACCCACTCACTCATGACTTAACCCAACCTAACGATATGGGTGTAAAACTGTTGATGAGCTAGATGATAATAATATCGAAGGGGAGGAAAAATGGATAAAATATCGAGATTTTCTCTGCGAACTCCACATAATCTATCCAGCTCTTGCTGGCTCACAGATCTACGAAATCTGCTCAAAAAAACTCAAGGAAATATACCTTGTGATACAGAAAATAATAATGTACTGAGAAAAACTAACAGAAAATAACTCTAATGAATGGATTATATCTACCGACTCACTTTATATTATTTGAGGTTATACTTAATTTATAGTTTCACCAAAAGATTATTACAAATATCGCTAATAAAATGAATAGTTACCCCTTTTGGCAAGTTGAAAAATATCGCGAGGAAGTCATCGGCGTTCATTGCCTCTTATCTGTAGAACACATTAATTGTGAAAACGTATACAGAGTGTGAGATACTTGTTCATAAGTATATATCACGTAAATCACGACAGCTGAGGTAAACGCTTACCATATGGCCTATTTTATAGCAAACCAATACGTCTCGTCGATTAGATGTACATTATGATACTCTTAATGACTACTGAGCACCATGCGATTTGAATCTATTGCATATCAGTTTCAAATATTCGATTCATATTTTCTGGAAAATTAATAAAAAATAACGATGTCTGTCCTTGTCAACTATAGAAGTAACTTCAAGATAGAAACTAAAAAAAAACTCTTCCGAACAACTACTTTTACATGAACATTGAATTACACGAGAAAAAAAGTTTTTTCGAAACAAATAATTTCATACAAACATTCATTTACATCAAAATAACTTTTTGCCATACAGTTTGCACACCAAGCAGTCGTTATGGGACTGAAACAGATATCATATCGTAGTGTCTGAGTTTTTACAAACAAGTTTCTCAACTTCTGAGAGTTGTCGTTCGTATGGGGGCGACAGCTGATTAACGGAAAAACATATTTTGAACAGTTTTTTTTTTGATCAGATAGCTTCGATCGATTGGAGATGTTACGAAAGATATTTATATTTGCTTGCTGCTTTTTTATGAAGGAAATAGATGAACCAACCGATTATGCAATTCATAGTTATTATTTCTATAACAATATTTTCGAAAATATAATCTCAAATTCAGACTCAAAGTTTTAAATACCCATATTATAATATAGGTTATTGGTGATCAATATATAGTTTCATTGAAAAAATGTTTCTGGTGGCGACAATGGAAGTTTATTACGATAAAATTATTCAACAATAATTATTTACCCCCTCAAATTGTTCAATAACATTGCAGTGATAACCAGCTAAATTTTTTGCTTTTCTGCGAACGTCCGCGACACTTTAGCAAGCTTTTCAAATGTTAAGAATTATGTGCTGGGACTGAAATATAGAAAGATTAAAGGACCATACATCATTTTTTCTAACGACTGATTTTTTGGGCAGATACTATTGCTTTCTCAACCATTATTGAACAAAACTGTATATAACTTTTAAACTACCGCTCTTTCAACATGTCGCCTTACGCTTGTTAAATAATGAAACGGCCTAACTAGAAACAATACAATCATTCTGAAGTACTAATAATTGAATCTATGTCTTTCCTAAATGACTAAAACTTCCACATGGCGAAAGATCTCCCGATAAACACCGTATTCTTGTATCAACTCCGCTTCAACAATCTCAAACAGACTTAATTGACTGGCCTAGAGACGTATCTAATTTATCCCTTAGATAATCGGTAAACGAGACCATGTTTCCGTCAGTGAAAGTCTATCTTGTGCGACAATATAGCATAATATTTTACTAAAAGATCATTAATGTTACTACAATGGGCCCGATCGGCCGTTGGGCACGCGATATAAAGATAAAAAAGAACAACAGAAGGTTTGTGAAACGCCTAGTCCTTTTCTTCAAGACGCGGGAAATTACTCAACGAAATGCCATATGGCAGAACCACCCTTTATCATTTGTTTCTACCGAAGGGATGCGATTCGAGGGGATTCGATTGTTTCAATGATTATGCGGTTTTGCTTTCGAGATTGTGGTCTATGGCGAAGGTGATTTTTGTCATAATTGCAGATAATTGTTTTTCTTCTTGGCTACTGCACAAATAATTACAACAAATATGTTATTTTAGACTCCATTTGACCACAGTCAATGACGGTTCATGTGAAAATTCAGAAACTCATTTTGCGGAATGAGAAACCTTGTGCGATTTTTGAAATGAGTTCTTGACTTACATCATAATTGAAGAAATAGTATTCCACTCTTGATTTCTTTTCATATTTGAGATATCATAACAAAAAAATTATAGCAAGCAACTTATCGGTACTTTCAAGCAGATCGAATATATACTTGGTTTCATTTTCTTTCCAACGCAAAATACAAATTAACTGTTCATTGTAAAATAACTTCAACAAAAAATCTTTCTTTGATTTTGATGAGTGAAATTGGAGAATAGTAAACTCAAAAGTTCCATTCACAATGAATATGAGTACTTTTTCATTAGTTCAGATAATATCAAGAATTAGTATGAAAATGCAAGATATTCATTCCGTACTAATCTCTTTCGAAATCTGATGTAGGAGGGCTTTACATTTTCTTGAAAATATAAAAAAGTCGAAGTCTAAAATTTTTAGTTTGAAGTTGGAATTTAACAAAATGTCATGTTGAAATTCAGAAATTCATTATTCTTTGACTTTTTTCTTCTTTTTCAAGGACAAAACACAAACACTACAGAAAAATTCTTAAGGAAGTGGTGTAATCAAACGTGCCAAGTCAGTTGGACACTTCCTGTGAAAGTATCGACAGACGAGAGACAAATCTCCAACCTTTCTCCGATGTTCCAGACTATCAAGGTTGCAAGTAATGTTCGCGTCTACAATCAGGCGGATGTCTCTTTTTCGGATAGATTCCAGTTCTACTTCCCATTATTCTCTCCATAACATGAATTGTTTCAAAAATCAGGTTTTGGTTTCGATTCACCTAAATAAATGACTCAGTGAGACTCAAAAAATACTGTAACAATTTAATGAATAAACTGTCTTAAACACATTAATTTCCAACAATATTTCAATAATCACAAACTAATTTATCTATTACAACACTCAGTAACGAACGCTTAATTTATTTCCACTATTTGAATCTCTTGTTTAGACGCTCCATTCACTTTCTGAACTGCCCTCTTGGTTCGGGAAGACGTGCTTTTATCGGTGAATATCCTTTCGGGACGGTTCGGTACTGCACTACCGGAATGCAGTGTGGAACTGCCGGAATTTTACCGGCGGTTCCATACTGCACTCTTTCGAGGTGATTTCATGTGTTTGTTTGATGAGTCGGCTGGCGTATCGGTTGGGGGCGGCAGATTCGTTACAATACTGTCGTATTCTTTAAAATCTAATCACTCACATAATACTCACTCGTTCATTTTTGTTTTCCGTACTTATGAGTCCTAGGAAGCTGAAACTTGATATATAGCTGCTTCTTGCGCTATATGAAAGAATAATCCAAATATTTATATGGAGGCATCCCCAGCGGGGGTGAAACGGGACCGTTTACATATGACAACTACCTTTTCATTACTATTTCACCGTACCGCTATATTTTCCGACACTGATATTTTGTATGTGGGTTCAATTCATGTAGATGTGCAATGAGAAAGGATTTTTAAATATTTCAACTGGTGCGCCAGTCGCGGGGAAAAAAACGTCTATGAAACAAAATTATCTTTTAATTACTGTTTCTCCATGCCCTTACATTTTCGGTCAGTGAATTTATATTTAGTATCAGCATTGCACCCGTAAGGAGTCGGGGCGGTCGCTAGTTATTTTCAATCTATACTTATTTGGTTTCTGTGAGTAATGGATATATTCACTTCTTATATTGTTTTATAAACTTGTAAGA